ACACACACACACCTGTGTCATCAGTCTCTCCACATGCACACTCCCACAGACCCTAGGATCCAGGTATAAAGGAGCAGTCTATACACACATTCTCTACATACTGTACTCAGTCTGTGTGCAGCTACCTCTCTTTTTATACAAAAATATCTACTGAAATCTTTTTCCGCCCGCTAGTTGGACTCCGCTCTGTGTATTCATTGGTGCCTGACTTTACCCATGACGACCGAACTCGGAAACTCACTCCACAGTTCTCTCCCGCGGCGCGTTGGCCGAGCAGTTCACAGTTGTGTATCTAGATCATCCCCCCTTCTGTCTCCTCCAGGTTGCTGGTCAGTGCATCCCAGGATGGAAAACTGATCGTGTGGGACAGCTACACCACTAACAAGGTACAGAGATCCAGATCTCTCTCTCTCATTGCGTTATCCTCACTCTAGCCCAGACCTGCATTAACACTCACTCACTTGCTCGCTCGCTCTCTCTCAGGTCAACGCAATCCCTCTCAAGTCCTCCTGGGTAATGACGTGTGCCTACGCCCCCTCAGGGAACTTCGTGGCCTGTGGGGGGCTGGACAACATGTGCTCCATCTACAACCTGAAGACCCGAGAGGGCAACGTCAAAGTCAGCCGCGAGCTGGCCGCGCACACGGGTACCGTTCCTGCTCACCAACACCCCAGCCGTTTCAAGCGCAACACGGTTTTTAACATTTCCCGTTTTAGGAAGAAACGGCATTGATAGCTTTTAATCCAGTAGGATCATGGCTCTCCACTTCTAGACTACTTACTTGTTAACTCTGCATGCAGATCACGCTGGAACGTTGCTGCAGGGAAACACCTGCTGCACAACCTGTACTTATTCGCTCGTCCATCCCATTCCATGAGTCATTACAGGGACTAGTGAGCAGGAAGGGCCGCTTCACATCTCCAACTCGTGAAAACTCTCAATCTCGCCCACAGGGATACCAGGGGTCTGCAGCAACATTAGCAACCATACAGCACTTTCACCAAGTTCCCGATTTTGTGCTGAATTTGAAATGAGAACAATTTTACTATGCCACTTTAAGCCATGAACTGACTGATTAATTATAGGGGTTGTCACATAAAGTAACCGGTCGACCAGTAGCACAGGTCAGATATCCCTGCTCATGAACTCCATCATTAGTCACCACCTGCACTCAAACACAGAACTCAACAACTTGAACGGCTCACCAGTCAACACTATAATGCATTACCTCTTTACCTTAATCACACAAGTCAAAATCAGCCTACACAGGGTCTAACGTACCAGGGTGACTCCGTCCTTGAACACAATTTTAAGCAAGTAACTCATCAACCCATACAGACACCCGATTAGACTCAAATCGAACACATTGAATGTTCATGAACAAACATGCACTTGCCTGACACCTCTTTCACACAATCAACCAGTGCAGGCAGAGCAGTAGTGTCCTTAACTCATTAGATTGTTTACCAATCACCTTACAGGTCAGCTGGCCACACACTTGAGCTCAATACAGTTCATTGACGTATTAGCATACTGCTTAATGAACACTAAGCAGACAGTCAGACAGTACTAATCAAGATGAGCTGCAAGCTGGGCGCCCACACTGTTCAATTAGTAGCAACTGAAACACTTCTGGATTAACTAACTAATGGATCACCCATCCAACACACAATTCCAATTACCTGTAAAAGCTGAAGGTATTGAACGACTGCCAGTGTGTCCAGATAAAGTAATACATCTCGAATAGTGCCTGCAATATGAACAGTTACCACTCACACAGTCTCCCTCTTGCTCCAGGATACCTGTCCTGCTGTCGCTTCCTCAATGACAACGAGATCGTCACCAGCTCTGGAGACACCACCTGGTGAGCATGCTGGCCTGCTCACCCCATCAGCTCAGCTGATCACCTCATTTAGAGCTCACAGGTGTCATCGTGGCTCAGACAGGACAGGTCTTGCCTGTTCCAGCACAGCACAGCACAGGGGTGTCTGATTTCGGTTTAACAAAGTGACTTAAATTTGTCCTCCCCCCAGTGTGTCTGATGAGAATACAGGACAGCTCAGAAACCACAATACAGAGCACAACTGTATATTCTTGACCTCTTACATCCAAACTCTCCTTTGACTGTGATCAGGAATACCCGTTGGTTGTTGAAGAAATAAGCAGGTTATACATTCAGTTAGGAAAACTCTGATCCTTATGGGCTGAAACTGAGATACTGGTCCTAAATGATCTCTAAACCAGTTCATTTACATCACCTGCTTCACTGATTGCTATTAATTAGTTCTGAGCCTTTATAAACTCTCCTTTCCATATTTTCCCCACTCCCTGCTCCCAATTACAGATCTTTAATAACCCACCTGGGCCTTGATTGTCCCCATCCATACCTGGGTTCAATTACTGGTTTGTCAGCAGCTATTTTGGCTCAGCGACTACGCCTGGACCCCCAGTAAGAGCCAAAATGGTCACCTTCTACGAAAGAGACTACACATCTGAGCTCGTAATAACCTAAAGCTGATTATAATTGGCTTAATTGGACCCCTTTAACAGCTTCTCCCCAGAATTTCAGGATCTCATTCTTTAAAGAGAACTACAGTTACACCAGTTGTTCCAGTACAGGGGTTAAATAACCCTGTGCCTTTCATATCCTGGTGTCAGCCCCAATGTGGCCTTCTCTTCCAAATGCCGAAAACGCTGAGTTCATTGCTCTGAATTCAATGAACAATTTTTGGATGATAAAGTCTCTTTACTTCTTTACAGTATGTCTTAAGGTCGATAATATTACGAGATCCATCTAGCCATATTCATCCAATTCAGGGTCGTGGGGGAGCTGGAGCCTTTCCATCTCAGGGCAGACAGACACACACACTCACACCAGGGCCAGTATTCCCACAAGCGAGATAACCCGTCAGCATGTCTTTGGACTGTGGGAGGAAACCGGAGCACCCGGAGGAAAAGCCATACAAACACAGGGAGAACTTCCAAACTCCGGGCACGAGGCACTCCAGAAATTGAACCCAGGACCCCAGAGCTGCAAGCCACCATGCCCCCCGATATCATGAGCTCTCCCCCGCGAGAGCTGAGGCAGTGCTTGGAGTAACACCTAACCGCGCACACCGAATCCCTACGTCTCTCCGCCGCAGTGCCCTGTGGGACATCGAGACGGGGACGCAGAAGACGATTTTCACGGGACACACGGGGGACTGCATGAGTCTGGCCGTGTCCCCGGACTTCAACCTCTTCATCTCGGGGGCCTGCGACTCCTCTGCCAAGCTGTGGGACGTACGCGAGGGCACCTGCCGACAGACCTTCACGGGCCACGAGTCCGACATCAACGCCATCTGTGTGAGTGGCCTAGTGCGGGGCTGATGGGATTCCGGCCCGTCTCGGAATGAGCCCAGGGCTTGAGCTCTTACCTGTACGTCTCTCTCGCTGCCTTTTCCCCCGCTCTCTCCCATTGGGAACTCCCTCTGTGTGAGCGATCAAGCACAGGGATAACGAGTCTTCCACCCATCTTGGAATCGGTCTACGGTCAAGCCCTTTGTTGTACGCCTCTAGTGCTCCCTCCTTCCCAGTTCTTTCCCAGTGGGAACCCTTTCTGCGCGAGTGGTCGAGAGTGGTGGGGTGACAAGACTCCCTGTCCATTTTGGAATTATTCCAGGGTTCGAGCTCTTACCCTTACATCTCTCTCCCTGCCTTTCTCCCAGCTCTTCCCCAGTGGGAACTCCCTCTGCGGGAGCGATCAGGAATAACGGGTCTTCCACCCATCTTGGAAACACTCTAGGGTTCGAGCCCTTACATGTACGTCTCTCCCCCTACCTCCCTCCCAGTTCTTCCCCAACGGCAACGCCATCTGCACGGGCTCTGATGACGCCACCTGCAAGCTCTTCGACCTGCGCGCCGACCAGGAGCTGATCGGCTTTTCCCACGAGAGCATCATCTGCGGGATCACCTCCATTGCCATGTCCCGCAGCGGCCGGCTGATCCTGGCCGGGTATGACGACTTCAACTGCAACATCTGGGACACCCTCAAGGCTGAGAGAGTGGGTGAGTGGCCAGCTGTCTGCTGGGCTGATACTGGGGCCGTTACTAATTGCCCTATGTCAGTTTCAGGGTGACACATTATTCTTTTTGTGTTAGACATATCTCTACGGTCTGTGTCTGGTTCTCTCTGTGGTCTATATAATTCTCATTGTGCAAGATGCCGCTCTGAGATATATGAATCTGTCTGTGTACTATAATACATGTCTCTAGGATCTATAATAGGGTCTGTATTAAACAGTATTAGGTGTTTCTCTAGTGTCTATATTAGGGTCTGTCTTAATCTCTCCTTGTTAGGTGTGTCTCCAGGGTCTATATGAGGTTCTGTATTAATCTCTCTGTTAGGTGTGTCTCTAGGGTCTATATTAGGGTCTGTATTCGTCTCTCTGTTTGAGGAGTGTCCCTGGTTTCTATATTAGAATCTGTAGTTTTGTGTTAACGTTATAGACAATGATGCCTATCAAGCAATCCCCCTCCTTCTCCCCCAGGTGTTCTGTCTGGTCATGACAACCGTGTGAGCTGTATCGGAGTGACCTCAGACGGAATGGCTGCCTGCACAGGATCATGGGACAGCTTCCTGAAAATCTGGAACTAGGAATGTTGCAGTATGGAGAGGAGGAAAGGGAGAGAGAGAGAGATAAATACCGACAGAGAGAGAAAGAGGGGCAGAATAGGTAGAAGCTAGTCTGTCGGAAGACAATATTTAAGTTTATGCAAATGAGTTATAGGAACAGACAGACAAGAGGACAGAAGCCATAGTGAGGAAAGAATTGAGATAGAGACAGTGGGTCTGAGTTTGCTCACCTGGAGACAGACGGGGGTAGACAATGTCAGTCTTGAAGCAGTCAGCCTGTCTGTTTTGTCTGTCTCTCTTCCCTCTCACTCTCTGCAAGACCTGTTACCGAGCAATGAAACAGCCCGATTCTGCATCTGTATTTATTGTCATTAATGGTAGCGTGCGTGCTTTTCAGGGAAAGACTGATCTCGAATACGGACCGCAATACGGAAACAAAGTATACATAACAAATGGCTAAATAATGGGAAAACAATTAGCAATATTTTTTAAAATAAGAAACTCATAAATCGTTTCTATTTTTAGAGTTATGTAAATGATTTTAACACTTGTAACTTGAAGGATCTTTAGAGAAATGCTTTTTTTTCATTAACCTTTGATTGTACTGTTAGTTTTCTTGTTATTTATTGGACTTATTTAATTGATTTTTTTTAGCTTACAGAAACAAATATACAACACAAGCTTATGTATCTGCAAATTGGAACCCATACTGTAAAACTGATGCACACTGGGACTCATTCTGGTGTCTGTTAAGGTTTGCAATACTTTATGAGACGTCTGTTTTTCTTCAAGAGGAAAATTAAGAAAAAAACACCCTGTTCATTGGTAATTAAGTTATAAAATAGAAAGAAGTCATTGTTTTACTGGTTGTGAACCGATTTTTCAAATATATTAAGGTTAAGAGTTTTATTGTCATTAAGGCTGACAGGCAATAAGCAAATGTAATTAAACATGCAATCATATGCCAATGATTTTACAGCTGATCAACAAAACACCATCTGCAGGTGGCTTCCCTTAAAACTTGGAAGTGTGTGTTCGCCGACGAATTTGAATTTAGTCTTCATGTTGTTTTGCAGTTCCTATTTTAAATCGTGATTTTCAGACACGTTTTCTAGACATGCAAGTTACAACTCCCAGAAGACAGTGGGAAGGAGGGCTACAATGGATAATGGGAAATGTTCTTCTCAGCCAAACTGGTTTTTTTAATGTATACATTTGTCCAGCCATATATCTTACTAATAATATACGATTTACCTCTATCAAGTAGGTGTTGCTGTCCTGCTATTTTTCATTCAAGCACAACGCTTAATGCTCCAATTACAATAATTAATGGCTTCCAGATGGGGGTTACACAGTGGTGGTGGTGGAGGGGAGTAAAACACTATATAAGTATTAGGAATTATTATTAATCGGAGTGACTCTACAGGCTAGTGTTGCTTGAAAGAGATTCTGATTATCCAGAACTGGATATATACAGTATACACCCTGATACAGGCGTATGCATCTTTTCTACCTCAATTGCTCTACACGGACTCTCTCTGGGTTACGCAACATTCATCTTATATCATTTTAACTGTAAAATAAAAAACAAAAATCAAATCTGCAGCAGAGGTATGTGCGGAGGTGGGAGCTACATAACATCTTTTAAATCCATGACGCGTTCGTGATGTTTCGACGGCCATCAGCATTATTGAATGATCCGGTCGCTCACTTCATGCCCGAATACAGTGAAACCGTATTATTACAAAATGTGAGTGAAACAGGGCTGGAAAAAAAAAGTTAAAAACTCCCGGATTGCCCAAATCTGAAATTGCAAACCCGCACCCAAGAGTGAAAATCCACTTTTTGAAACATAGCGTTTAACATGTGCTGTGCATTCTGGGTAATTCACCCCCCCCTTTCCCCTTTGACCTCCAAATCTTGAGATGTGCTTAGATCTGGGCCTCTCTCTCCCTTTCCACAGCTTCCATTTTCTCTCGCTAGCGAAACTGCTGGTAGCTCTCAAACTCGGTTGTCTCCTTTCCTCCTCACCTGCTCCCGCCCCTCTTCCTCTGGGCTTTCCTTCCTGGTCTCCTGGGCATCTATTCTTCCAACTCATCCCAAATTCTTCCACCGGGCGAGAAAGATTAGGCCGGCTGTTGCCAACACATGAGACTGTCGTCAACTAAACTGGTTCATTAACCCGCGAGCAGGAAGTCGCACAATTCTCCCCTTCCACCTTAATCCATCTCACTGCTGTGGGTTTTTCAAGTCTTCTTTCCTACAGCTAATGATCTTTCACTTAATTCTCCGTTTTACAAAAATGGATTTCAGTGCACACACCAGGGAGCAATTTGCACCAGGCCTTATGGCTTTTGAAATTGATATTTTCGGGTTCACTTAAACCACCAATGTACTGCTTGTCGCAGGAGTTAAGGATCGATTGTAAATAAAGGCACAGAAATCCGCAGAGCCACAAAACAGACTGCCCCTACCTTGCCTGTAAACACTATGGGGGGGGGGCGCTTTTACAACTTCTCAGATATTTGTTTCTGAATGTTGTTACCACTGGTTCTTTTCAATTAAACTAGACCTGCATCACAGTGTGTGGCAATGTGTGTGACTGCTTCTGAAGAGGCCGGACACGAGGTGCAGGCAAGTCGAAACGGTCAATCTCGGAAGGAGTTTATTTACAGGATTTGTTTATTTACAACTCGAATTAAAAAGACAAAGACTGACTTGACACAGAGAAAGATCCCAGCAAAGGCAGTGGGAGAGAATCAGGACGCACAGAGCTACGACTAACAGGACTTCTTGATAAAGAGCAGAACATATTTAGAGACGTGGATGTGGAGGCCAAGAGCTTGTGTAGTGTTAATGACAGAGGGGCACACCTCTGTCTCCCCATCAGGCACTATCTGTTCATCTTTCTCTCCCCGACTACCTCATCCGATTCTCCTTATTCAGTGTTGCAGCCTGACTGTGCCTGTCAGGGGTGACCCTTCCTTCTCTGACCAGCAGAGGGGGCTGTTTCTTCATCTGAAAACAGGGAAAGAGCACAGTGTTCACTGTTAGCACAGCCCTGTAATCACATGTAACGAACAAAACCTAAGGCATTGGTAGACCTGCAGATCTCCAGTCCTAGTTCTGGAGGACCACGGTCTCCAGATTTTCAGTCCAGCTGAGCTCGTAACCCAAATGAGCTCTTTTTTTTTTTTGCTTAACCGGACCAGTTTAACAGCTCCAGCCAGGTCTTCAGGTGTTTATAATTTAAAGAGATCTGTTTTACAGGTTCTTTTTTAAAAAGTCCATTTGCATACATGTTCATTTCCTGTAGTCGTTATCTTCATGCACTAGACGGGCAGTTTTTAGTGATGTGATCTTCACAATTGTAGCCAGCTGTGTGGTTATTGTAAGTTCACTGCATTTTGGACTGAAGGACTTTACTGAACATTTTTAGATAGCCCGACACAAGAACGAAAAGCACAGGGAGCCTGATCTAGAGAATATGGCAGCCTAGTTCAAGAACTTCCAACCTTGGGCCTGGAGAGCCCTGACTGACTTATTCTTGCAGCTCACCCTTCATCACCTGTTATTGAAAACCGAGTAACTTGTTGCTCAAGTTGCTCAATTAAACAAGTAATATTTTGCTGAAAGGGAACACTGTTCCATGAGGGCTGAAGGATATTTTGATCTTTGCTAACAAACATTTCTGAATTACTTAATTGATCACAGAGATAAGGCTCTCCAGGAACGGAGTATGAAGCCTCTGCTTTTTTACTACTGGAAGTTACTCGTCCTCAAAACTCTCAAATCACAAGGATTAGGCAAAACGAAAACCTCCTGGTATTTCCTATTCCCGTGGGACCAGTTCTGTGACTAATTCCTGTGAGAAGCAAATGGTCTTGTCCCCAGGGTGAGGTATGTTGTGAACGGACCAGCAACTGATGAAACTGAGAGAAACTCAAGAAGAGAGATTTCCAACCCTAGTCCTGAAGAGTCCTCATCGCGATCAGGCGATTTGTTAAATCAAGTATGTTAAAGATCATTAAGGACTGGGGTTACAGACCCCTGGAGTCACTGGACCGGGGTTACAGACCCCTGGAGTCACTGGACCGGGGTTACAGACCCCTGGAGTCACTGGACCGGGCCTCTCCGGGACCAGGGTTGGTGAAATCTGTCCTCAGCAGGTAACCAGAAGCATAACTCTGGTTCAAAACCAAAATATGGCCTGCCGACTCTGAGCTATGGCGTGGGACAGCAGTCCAAGAGTTACCTGCAGCGGTCTTTCCCGAGGTGAGTTGGTCTCTTTCAGAATCTGCAGTGGAGAGCGGCCCTCACCCAGCAGCACTTTGGTAGTCTTCTCTGAGAGAGAGAGAGAAACGGAGACAGTGGTTATCACGGGCATACTTGCCTGCTGCCTGCAGCAGACACACATGACGGTCAGAGTCCCTGGACACTTCCTGATCCCCCACCTTTCTTGCAACGTGACGCCCGGTCCTTAACGCCACTCCCAGCATGCTTTGCTCCCCGATGTCCCGCCGTGGCCCTGTCTGGCGTTCGGTTTGAATCCTGTGGGACCGCCCTGTGGCTCTCTGGGGGGACCCCCTTCCCCGTTACCCCAAAACCCGACCTCAGCCACTGTGGCCGCAAGGCGAGGTGACCATCTTGACAGCCGGCGGGTTTCCCGCCTTCCGCCTTCGCCACGTCAGAGCCGACCCCGGAATTGTCGGGACGTTGGGATGCCAGGTGCGGCTCCGTTTCACAGCTTTGGGGTTCTGCACCAGAGACCGTGGCATTTCTTGGAGAAGTTGAGCTTGGAAGAGGGGGAGCCTCCTCTTCCCCGTTTTGGGGCACACTCTGCTGGAGGCCGCTACCAAAGGGGGGGCAGGACTCAAGGTGTAACCCCATTTCTTGGCTTTGAGGCTGCTCACACCCCGACTCGGATGACTCGTTCCCCTCCCTGGGCACCCCGTCTTTGGTCTCTCTCCCGCCACACTCCATGAGCTCCCCTATTTCGGGTCCTGCAGGCTCTCCCATCGGCTCAGGGTTTTCCGTCTTGTCTGGTTCAGGACTGTTCAGCACATGAGATGTCTGTAGAACTCCGGCATCAATTCCCAAGCTTCCCGGCAGGAGGGGTGTCTGGAAACGAGGAACGTCTTTCGCGGGCGAGCCGCAACCGAATCGGGAGGGCTCACGGCACACTTGTGCCCCCGCCTGTAGGTTTTGGGGTACGGCCCCCGGAGAATCCAGTTGGGGGGTTTCAGAAAGGGCCGGTGGGGCCACAAAGGGCTCGTCCTGCACCCCAGGGTAGGGATCTCGTGGGACCGTTTCGGGGGCGCCCTCCTCTGCCCTGCCTTCCTCGTCGAGGAAGAGATCGTTCAGCCGCCGAACAAAGGAGGTCACCGTAGCTGAAATGGAGAGAGAACAGTGTCTATTACCACTGCACACACACAGAGTGATTTTGCCATCTCCCCGCCCACGTCCTTCCTCAACAATGGTACACTCCTACCTGCCATGATATCTTTCATCGGGGTGCGGGAAATACCAAGCGTGGGGGAGCGGGGGTCGTCTTCCAGGACTGCACCCTCAGAGAGCCCCCCCCTCACAGGGGTGAGGCTGCTGACAGCACCCACCTGAAACACAGAAGGAACCCTGTACTGCACACCTTTCAGGTCTTCTGGGCTTCACTTAAATTCAGCTAATTAATGCCTTTAGAGGCATAAGGTGTCAAGATCAACGTGATCTGAAGGACACAAGGTTACAAACAAGATGCTGTTCATCCCCATGATATTCAATCGTTCCTTAAAGGATGTGAGGGTATCAGCTTCGACAACAGGGCTGGGGTGCATGTTTCCATTGTCCCACAACCCTTTGAGGAAAAAACTGCATCCTTTACAAGAAGACCCAT